CGTGACCACGGATGTCTGTCACCCAATATGTGGGTGCAGCTTCTTGTGTCAGAGAATGTTGTGGCAGTTTTCATTTATGTATTTATTTATTAGAGATAGGCTCTCAATCTGTAGCCTGGATGCTCTAGAACCCACTAGGCTCTTCCTTCATCGCCACCTCAGAACTGGAATTAGGGTGTGTGCCACCACACCTTGCTTTTTCCCACCATTCCGTCTGTTTAGGGACTTTTTAATTGTCAAAGACTTATTTTTTAATTATGAGTATGTGCATATATCCACAGCCACCCCTGCACAGACCATACACACACACACACACACACACACACACACACACACGCACATGCACATGCACACGTACACGCACACGCCTGTCAGTGTATACCAGGGGTCCATGGAGGCCACAGGTTTTGGAGCCTACAAAGCTGGAGTTACAGGTGGCTGTGAGCCACCCAGTGTGTGTGCTGGGAACCAAACTCACACACCCTCTGCAAGAACAACATGTGCTCCTAAGTGCTGAACCACCCCCCCTCCCCCCAACCCATTTTGTTTTTTCGTTTTCAGCTTTATGTGTGGGAGTATTTCACTTGCAGGTGTGTCTTGCACGGTGCTCAGAGGAAGATAGGATCCCCTGAAACTGGAGTTAGGGATGAGTGTGAGCATCCATGTGGGTGCTGGGAACCCAACCTGGGTCCCGACAGGACAGCAAGTGTTGTTCCCTGATAAGCCAACTCCGCAGCCCCGGACCTGTTTGGAAAAGAACGAGTGTGGTGTTCACAGGTGGAGTCCGGGAAATCGTCGTCACAGAATTCACAGTGTTTTCTTTTTCTGCTTGTGTTTTCACTATGGAAGTTTCCCAACAGTCAAATAGAGTAAAATGAACTCCGGTGACAGTCACTCTGTCATGCTGTCTCGTTTTTGAAAGTCTTCCTGCTTTTCCTCCTCTCCCAACACGTTTTGTTTTGCCCTGTGTGTGTGTGTGCTTGTGTGTGCGTGTGTGTGTGTGTGTGTGTGTGTGTGTGTGTGTGTGTGTGTGTGTGTAGGGGTGGTAGGTGTGTGTGGAGGCCACTCTCTACTGTGTCTTCTGAGACAGGCTCACTGAACCTGGTGCGTGTCCATCCCATAAGACAAGCTGGTCGGTGAGCTGCAGGGAGCCTCCTGTTCCCAATGTTTACTCAGTAGGACTTCAAATTCATTGTGTCTATATACGAAGACCAAGAGAGGAGCTTTTCTATTCATTTCTTAGGGCTGCCTTTCAAAAGCACCACAGAGTGGACAGTTTAGCAATCCTTGTGTGTGCAACTGAGTCTTGTGTGGCCCAACATGGCCTCAAACTCTCTCTAGTCCAGGCGACCCTATGCAGTGAGACCCTGACAAAAACCAAATAAAAGTGCAAAGGGAGAAAGTGCTTGGCTGCCTTTGCTCCTCTGGGATCGCCCCTGTCCCTAACGTGTGGCTCTTCTTTCTTAGCATTACTTAGTTTTGGTGTTCTCTCCCCTAGTGGGTACAGGGACCGCACCGTGTCCTTCTCAGAGTGGCCAGCAGGGGGAGCAGTTATCCGGTGAGTACCTGTGATTCACGTGGCTGTCCAACGGGCAGACAACAGGGTGATGCTAAGGTTTGGGAACAGACCGCAAAACAGGGACAAAATTGTTCCTTCGTGAAGGGGACTCCCCCACAGACCCCAGATTAGGCACAAACCACACCCAAACACCTGTTTTCACAGTGAGATCCTTTATTAAGCAGGAAAGAAAAGTTAAAGTGGCCGCTTTCTGACTCAGGCAGAAAAACAGCAGCAAATCTTTGCAGGCGTAATTTTTGTTTGTTTTTTGTTTCTTCGAGACATGGTTTCTCTGTGTAGTTTTAGTGCCTGGATCTTGCTCTGTAGACCATGCTGGCGTCGAACTCACAGAGATCTGCCGAGCTCTTCCTCCTGAGTGCTGCGATTAAAGGCGTGAGCCTCCTCTGCTGCCGCCACCACCTACCTGGCTGCAGGTGTAATTTTTAAGAGGAGGAAAAGGGGAGGTCTGTGTTAGAATGGGCTAGGATGCAGTGGTAGAGGAGAAAATTGAAGAGGGAAAAGGGGAGGGGCACAAGGTAACGCGGGGGGCCATATTTGTCCCGAATGGGGAGACAGAGAACTGCCTCTGGATAGAGGAGGCAGACACAGCACACAGGCAAAGGACGGTTTATAAAGTGAAAGTAGGAAACCCCGTGTTAGGATGAGGTGTTTAACTTTAATTGGGCATGTTAATTAGGTGAATCAAAGGGTCTTTTGATAGCTGGACTTTGGTAGTCAGCCTCAGGCAAAATTAGGGAATAGAGCTTGGTGGCTAGTTTTAGGAATATAATCTACTGGGTGTTTTTCAGCAAGGCAGAGGGAATGGAGCCGTCCTCACCTTGCTAGAGATGGCCAGAATCCCTTTGCTTGGCTTATTTATTTTTGGTGAGCTGTAGAATCCATCAATAGTAGAGTATTCAAAAGTTGATGTACAGTTCTGATCTTGGACAAGAACCGGCAGGCAGGCAGGGATGGCGCTGAGCAGCTGCTGAGAGAGCCACAGAAGCAGAGAGCTAGGTGGCAATGGCTGATGGCCTTTGAAACCTCAAGGCCCTCCCCCAGTGGCACACTTCCTGCTCCCTCAGAGTTCTTTCACCTTCTAAACCACCCTCCCTTATCCCGGGATCTGAGTTCATCCTGTAAGTGTGAGACCATGCTTGAGTTTGTCTGTTTTTGTCGTCCAGAGTATCAGGGAGACAAGGCTTGGAGTTGGTGGCGCACGCCTTTAATCCCAGCACTTGGAAGGCAGAGGCAGGTGGATCTCAGAGTTCCAGACCAGCGTGGTCTACAGAGCAAGTTCCAGGACAGCCAGGGCTACACAGAGAAACCCTGTCTCAGAAAAAAAAAAAAAGAAGAAAGGAAGGAAGGAAGGAAGGAAGGGTTAGTTATTATGCAGCGCTGTGTTATTCATTAAGCAGCACTGTTTACCATGTGAGAAAAGACATGAGGCACAACAAAATCCACTAAAAGAGTTTATTAGGGGAAGGAGAATGGAGGGGATGTGTTTAGTTCTATTGAAGATCGTGCAGGGAGAGAGGAGAGAAATATGTGATTCGTTTTTTATGGATTTCCCCACACTTGCGCATATGGGCTTACGTAGCTAAACCATGAATGCACATAGATTACATGATCATGTTTCTCGAAAATTACGTGATCACACAGCACACGGATTACATAGGACATAAGGCCCCAGAATCACTAAGTGTTTTGCCAGTGCATGTGTGGTCATGGGAGAGAGGCTAGGAAGGGAGGGAGGAGGGGAGGGAGGGAGGGAGAGAGAAAGAGAGCGCACTGGCTGCTCCTGCACAGGATCTGGGTTCAATTCCCAGGACCCACAACCATGCTTAACTCCAGGTCCCTGGGATCTGCTGCCCTCTTCTGGCCTCTGCACACGGTGCATAGACATACTGCAGGTGAAACACTGACGCACATAAATTAACTTGTTTGTTAAACAGGGACCTGTGGCTGAATGCTTATTAACCTTTATTTTAATATAGATTGATTTCTTTTTGTTTATAAAAATTACCTCAGGGGACTGGAGAGATGGCTCAGCAGTGTTTCTGTTCTTGTAAAAGACCCAGTTTGGTTCCCAGCAGCCACGTGGTGACATACAACTTTCCACAGCTGCAGTTCCGGGGGATCTGACATTCTCTTCTGCCCTCCATGGACACCAAGTACGCATGTGGTGCAGAACCATACATGCAAGCAAATCATACACATAAAAGTGAATCTAACACTCACCTTGAAATTAGAATTGAGCACAGTATGGGAAAGTGAGTATTGTTGAATAAATTCACCTTTTCTGTCATTTTGTTTGTAAAACACCCAATTTCCTTTCTTCTTTTTTTCATGGCACAATGTTTTATTTGTAATAGCAGTCTAGATTAAAGTTTTAAATTATACATTTTCAAGTGATGTACACCTTAATTCATTTTCCCATACTGGAAATTAAATCTAAGGCTTCTCTGTGCTAGGCAAAGGTTCTACCACTGAGCCACATCCCAAGTCCCCTTTTTTTTTTTTTTTTTTTTTTTTTTTTTTTTTTTTTTTTTTTTTTGGTTTTTCGAGACAGGGTTTCTCTGTGTAGCTTTGCGCCTTTCCTGGGACTCAACTCTGTAGACCAGGCTGGCCTCGAACTCACAGAGATCCGCCTGGCTCTGCCTCCCGAGTGCTGGGATTAAAGGCGTGCGCCACCACCGCCCGGCCTTCTTTTTTAATTTAACAGACCGAGTCTTACTGTGTAGCTAAGTCTGGTCTCAAAGTCTCAATACTCCTGCTTGACCTTCAGTGCTGAGATTTCAGGCATGTACTGTCATAACCGCTTTTATCCATGGTTTTATTGACATCATGATTCCAGAAATCTTCATGATCAGTCATAAAAGAGGCACATGTGACAGATGTCTTTTGTCTACCCACAGATATTTAAATAGTTTAGCAGTTTTGATGTCTTAAGAAATGTTATTGTAATATTTGTATAAATTAACCTTTTCCTCCAGAAGAAATGCAAGGAAATTTTACTACCGTTCCTGTTGTTTAGAAATACTTGATTAGGGCTGGAGAGATGGCTCAGAGGTTAAGAGCACCGGCTGCTCTTCCAGAGGTCCTGAGTTCAATTCCCAGCAACCACATGGTGGCTCACAACCATCTGTAATGAGATCTGGTGCCCTCTTCTGGCCTGCAGAGATACATGCAGACAGAACACTGTATACATAATAAATAAATAAATCTTTAAAAAAAAAAAAAAGAAATACTTAATTAAAACACATTAAAATATTTCATTTGTATGAGTGTTCTGCCTGCATATAAGTCTGTGCTCCATATGGAGCCAAAAAGGTGTTGGATCTCCTGGAACTGGAGTTACAATTACTTGTGAGCTGCCATGTGTGTGCTGGGAATTGAACCTGGATCCTCTGGAAGAGCAGCCAGTTGTCTTAACCACTGAGCCACTATATTTCCAGCCCCTAAAACATACTTTTAATATGTAATACTTTGGCTGCTCTTTATGGAAAGTATATTGTTCAATGTGTTCTAATTAATCATAGAAGATGTTCATTTTTTTTCAAATGAGAAAGATAGGATTTCCTTTCTCATAGCTGAGTCACACCCAGGTGTGTTTACTAACTGCTTTTCCTGTTTCCTTCACTATGTGAATGTGCTGTATTGGCAGAATAATGTACTCAGATGGAAAAGTCTAGTTCCTCGGAGCAGCCTTGTGAGGCAGCGCTGCCTTCAGTGCGTTCAACAGTCAGGAGGGCGAAGCTCAGACGCTGACGTCTGCACAGGGACCAACACCCCTCAGACTCCAAGGGATCCTGTGACTGAGGATGCAGGACCTTCTCCTGGTGGGTGCAAGACGCGGCAGACGAGGATCCCCTTTCCTGGCTCACTCTGGAGTGGATCCTCATCTGGGATGACTGTGGTTCATCTGGGGATCCTGAATGTTCAGGGCCAGTTTCCAGATGGAAAGTTAAAGCAGCCTCATTGGCCATGATGGTTCTAAAGCTGATTTCACCCCCAGGCAACAAGTGGATAGAGGCTCAAGATGATGGTGAGCATCCCACAGTGCACCAGGGAGCCCCCTCAGCTGAGAAGTATCTGGCACATAATGCCAGGAGTGTTCCAGTTGGGACACTACTGTGCACAGCTGTGTGGGGAGGACAGCGCTGGGGATGTAGCTCACTGGTAGAGCTCTTGCCTAACATCCATGAGGCCCTGGATTCGACCTTTCATCTTCCAGTATCAAAACTTTTAACAATTATGTGATTGAGCAGATGAATGCCTGGCATGGTGGTTCACACCTGAAATTCCAGCATTTGGGAGGCAGGGGCAGAGGTGGGAAGATCAGTACAAGTTCAGGCCAGCTTGGTCTACACAGCAATTTCTGATCAACCAAGGCTACAAAACAAGACCTTGTCTCCAAAACAAAAAGGAGCAGTAACAAAAAGCGGGTGAGTGGTATGGAAACATGGCCTCTGGGTTCTTAGCTCAGGACTTGCTCTCCACTCATCTTTCCACACTTCTCAGAGCTTTCCTTCTTGCAGAAGACCAAGGTTGAAGTTGAGGGTTTGGTGTCACAGGAGATGGTGACATGCAAGGATGTGGCTGTGGTCTTCAGTGAGGAGGAGCTGGAGCTGCTGGACGCTGCCCAGAAGAAGCTGTACTGTGACGTGATGCTAGAGAACTTCAGGAATGTGGTGTCCCTGGGTGAGGGCAGACACTGGTGCTGAACAACAGGTCCACGCAGTTTGGCCCTAGATGTGATCCGAGCTCTTGAAGTACATTCTAGTTTTCTAGTCATCATGTGATACAGAGTTGGAATCTCCCTAGTTTTACAAATGAAGCAAAAATTGAAAGCATGGTAGTATGTTTTCATCTTTCTCAAATTATAATCTCAATTAGTAGATTGTGGCACACTCTGAGTCACACCTACCAACACTATTTTCACTGAACTAAGTTGAGGCAGCTGGAGAGAGAGCTCATCAGTTAATGCTGTCTGCTCTTTTAGAAGACCAGAGTTTGGCTCCTAGCACCCACATCAGGTGGCTCACAAATACCTGTAACTCCAGCTCCAGAGGATCTGCTGCCCTCTACTGGTTTCCATTGTCACCTGCACTCATACACACACACACACACACACACACACACACACACACACACACACACACACAGAAACATATACACATCAATATAAATCAGGAGAAATATTTTAAAAATTAAATAAAATAGAGTTGGTCATCAGTCAATGGCACCTGGTCCCAAGGGTAATGACCCCATTTCAATCCCCGGGGCCTACGTGACGGAGGGAGAGAACCAAGTCCCACTTGTCTCTGACCACCAGTGGTGTGCACAAACATACATACCAAATAAAATGTAAGAAAACACCCTGGCATGCCGCGGACTGGGTCTCAGTAGGAACACCAGACCGAGGGAGAACAGGTCGAAGGTACTCAGGATAAGTGAGATTCGGCGAATGACAGACAGACACAGACACGAGAGTATGCTGTGAAACTGCTGCAATTTTACTCAGATCAAGCAGTGTTTTTTATACAATCATTTGAAGAAAACAAGGCAATCGGCCAGTGGGGCGATAGACATAGAATTAACAATGTGGTCACACAATTTTCTCAGAATGATTAATAGATCTCATGAGTACAGGTGTTATTTCCTCTTTTGTGGTCCCTCATCCAGACAGAGAACATTACGGCCCTAGCTGAAGTTTTTCCTTCTACGTAATTATTAGACCTTCGTTTTGTATCAAAATTAAACCCTTCCCACCATCGTTCTAACCATGGTTTCATTTGTGTGAAAATATTTAACCTTTGCCTGCAGGTGAGAAGGCACCAGGGGGGTTGGGACCTAGCTATTCTTTCCATGAACTGTAACTTATGCCATTCTGTTTTCATGCTTTTATGATTCACCCATTGGTTCCCATGTTTATCATAAGCTCCCGTAAAGGGCAATGGCTCCAAATAATTATTATATCTAGGATTAAATTTAGGGGGTTGCCACCACCGACCCTTGATGAGAAACTCTATTTGTCCCTTGATAATTCTTGTAGGACTGGCTAGTTCCTGTAACTGCTTCCTTGCAGCTGCTGTTGGCTGCGCGTGTGGATTGCTTATGAGTTCCTGGACTTTTACTTTCATCTCTCCTCACTAGAATCCTTGTCCCTCTGAGTCATAAGTTCTTTTTGCTCTAAATCATTCATAAATTCCCCCAAACTTCTAGGACTCTCTTTAACTGTTTGCCTAAAAGCTTGAATTATAGGTGGGGGTATTGAGGCCACTTTTGAGGAATCATTATTCTCTTTATGGGGCACATCAGGAACATTGAGAGCTAACTCCCTGAAATTGATACACAAGGAAACAGCAATAGTCACAGCTGCAAAGAGAAAAAAGGCAGAATGCCAACCAGCCTCTGCAAGCAGATTTTGCATGGTTCCGTGTAGCCTGGCACCATGATTCAGGCAGATTGATAAGGGGTCGCCGGGGGCATAGACCCGAGGGCCGCGAGCCCCCCTTTCCCACGTAACCACCTCATCCAAGGCATTTGTCACGCGGGCGACACCATCGTGGGCGTGGCACTGGCAGTCTATCTAGCACATGACCAAGGACAGTTTGAGAGACTAGGGAGAGGGGATAATGAAAATAGACATTTGTCAAGTAATGTATACTAAAGTCTGTGTCTGTATGTTTTGGGGCTTTTCAAACAATGTATGTCTTCCACTGACTTGTATTATAGGTTGGGGAAGAACGGGTTTGATGTCCTGAAGCAGATGCAGTGGAATGCTTGTTTTTAGGACTTGGGACTCTGCTGTGTTGATTTCAAATGTATTCCTCACAGGGCATCAGATCATGACTCCAGAGGTTTCACTCCAACTCAAGAGAGAAGACTTGCTTTGGGTGTTGACGATGGTCAGTTGGAACTGTGAGTCTACAGGTGAGAACAGAGTGACTCAGCTACCCTGCTTCTCAGCCTGTGCACAACTTTGGGGCTGGTGTCAGCCAGGGCTTTTGCCGCTCTCGTGAATCCATCCCGCTCTCAGCATCAGTTTCCACTTGTACCGACTCCCTCGGACTTAGTCACATGATGCTCTTCCTCTCAGTCTTCAGCCCCATCAGAGAGTCCACAAGAGACACAGATCGACCCAGTCTGATGCACTGTTTAAAAATCTCAGTCAAAGGCCACTATTTCAGTCTCATCAGAGCGTCCCCACTGAAGAAAACTCAAACGAATATGAGGAGTGTGGGACTCTTGGGAAAGACTCACATGGTCAGACACCCCTGTTAGTCCACGCAGGAGATGAGGCCTATAAATGTGAGGAGTGTGGGGCAAGCTTCAATCAAAGCTCCTATCTTCAAGTCCATCAGAGAGTCCACGCTGCAAAGAAGGCTTATAAGTGTGAGGAGTGTGGGAAGGGCTTCAGCTGGTTTTCACGGCTACACGCCCATCATCGAATCCACACTGGAGAGAAACCATACAGATGTGGTGCCTCTGGCAAGGGCTTTAGTTACAGCTCACACCTTAACATTCATTGTAGAATGCACTCAGGAGAAAAGCCCTGTAGGTGTGAGGAGCGTGGGAAGGGCTTCAGTGTAGGCTCACACCTCCAAGCTCATCAGATAAGCCACACCGGAGAGAAACCATACAAATGTGAGGAGTGTGGGAAGGAATTCTGTCGGGCCTCTAATCTTCTGGACCATCAGCGAGGCCACACTGGAGAGAAGCCTTACCTATGTGATGCTTGTGGGAAGGGCTTCAGTCGGAGTTCTGATTTTAACATTCATATTAGAGTCCACACGGGAGAGAAACCCTACGTATGTGAGGAGTGTGGGAAGGGCTTCAGCCAGGCCTCAAACCTTCTGGCCCATCAGAGAGGCCACACTGGCGAGAAACCCTACAGATGTAACACATGTGGGAAGAGCTTCCGTCGGAATTCAGATCTGAACGTTCATTGTAGAATCCATACAGGAGAGAAACCCTATAAATGTGAGAAGTGTGGGAAATCCTTCAGTCAGTTTTCAAGTCTCCAAGTGCGTCAGAGAGTCCACACGGGAGAGAAACCATATCAGTGTGCAGAGCGTGGGAAAAGGCTTCAGTCAGTTCTCAAGTCTTCAGATGCATTGGAGAGTCCACACTGAAGAAAAACCCTACAATATAGCAAGTGTGGGAAGAGCTTCCGACGGAGTTCAGATTTTAATGTTCATTGTAGAATCCATACAGGAGAGAAACCCTATAAATGTGAGAAAGCCTTCAGTCAGTCCTCAAGTCTTCAGGTGCATCAGAGAGTCCACACGGGAGAAACCGTATCAGTGTGTGGTATGTGGGAAGGGCTTCAGTGCAGGGTCACAACTTCAAGCCCACCAGAGGTCCCACACTGGAGAAAGACCCTATCAATGTGAGGAGTGTGGAAAAGGTTTCTGTCGGGCATCCAATTTTCTCGCTCACCGTGGAGTCCACACAGGAGAAAAACCATTCCCATGTGACCTGTGTGGAAAACGCTTCCGGCAGAGGTCCTACCTCCAAGCCCACCAGAGGGTCCACACTGGAGAGAAACCGTACAAGTGTGACGAGTGTGGGAAAGTCTTTAGCTGGAGCTCATACCTTCAAGCCCACCAGAGGGTTCACACTGGAGAGAAACCTTTCAAGTGTGAGGCTTATGGGAAAGGGTTCAGCTGGAGCTCCGGTCTCCTGGTTCACCAGCGAGCCCATGCTAAGGATGAATGTGGTAAGGGCCTTTCTTCATCTGAGGATTCATACAGGAAATAAGCTCTACAAACTTCATATTTCAAGAGGATGCTGAACTCTCTGATCTGAGCTGTCAAAGGGCACAGAAAAGTTATCTCATAATTGGGAATGTATGTTACCTGGAGCTATAGTAGACTGCCATGGTTTTTGGGAGACCAGACATGAACTAGTCAGAATGGACTTTTGGTCATTTCATCCAGAACCTTGACCCTTATCAGATCCATGCAGACAAGATGCCCTGGAAAGATGAACTTGGCCTGGAATTAACTAGAAGCACAAGCCTGTTCAATAGGATTTAAACTCCAAAGAGGAGAGACATCATACACAGCCAAATCTGACCCACCTTTCCAGTGCCTAACACATTGTGTGCTTTCAGTAATTGTTAAGCATCAAGAAAGCCGGGTTGGGGATTTAGCTCAGTGGTAGAGCGCTTGCCTAGCAAGTGCAAGGCCCTGTGTTCGGTCCTCAGCTCCAGAAAAAAAAAAGACAGAAAAAAATAATAAAGCCACACATAATGGCTCACAGTTGTAATTCCAACTCTCAGGAGGCCAAGGGGAGAGTTTTTCTATAGGATTATCCTGAGCTACAGTTTGAAACTCCATTTCAACACACCAAAATATTAATAATCAGCAAGAGGAGCAATTGTTTGATAGGGGTTTTTTGGTTGTTGTTGTTGTTATCTGTCAAAGGGTTTTTTTTGTTGTTGTTGTTTGTTTTGTTTTTTAAGACAGTGTTTCTCCATATAACAACAGCCTTGGCTGTCCTGGAACTTGCTTTGTAGACCAGGCTGGACTCAAACTCACAGAGATCCGCCTACCTCAGCCTCCTGAATGCTGGGATTAAAGGCATATGCCACCACTACCTGGTACCTTTAAGTCTTTTTTTTTTTTTTGAGATTTATTTATTTATTATATATACATTCTTCTGCCTGCATGTATGCCTGCATGCCAGAAGAGGGCATCATATCTTCATTGTAGATAGTTGTGACCTACCATGTGGTTGCTGGGACTTGAACTCAGGTCCTCTTGAAGAGCAGCCTGAGCCATCTCTCCAGCCCCTCTCATGAAAGCATCCTCAGAAGTGTTCTAGAAGGCTTGCAGGGCCTTCTAGATGCCTATTCTCCTTTACCCAACCTACATGGAATAGCTATCAAATTGAAGTTCCTGTGTGCAGATGCTGTGTTGTGGACAGCACTTGTGTATGCTAACAGTGCTTCAGTGCCAATGTGCACAAATCTCATTTATGCTTTCCTGAGTTCTGAGAAGTGTAGACACATGTAATCCTCTCCAACACCAACGTCTGTAACATTCCTGCTGAACAGGTGCTTTATGCCCATTTCCAGTCAGTCCCATCCTCAGTGCCAACCAGCATGGTTCTCACACTGCACATCACTTAGGTTTGTTCTTGAGCTCGTGTGGATTAAATATGGACTATTGATTCTTATCTCAGTAGATGCAGAAAAAAATGTAACAAAAGTTTCTATCCATTTTTGATAATATAAGTTCTCAGTGAGATAAACTAGGTATGAAGTCCTAGCCAAATATGGTGGCATACACCTGTAATCTCAGTACTTGGGAGGTAGGATCAGGAGTTCAAGACCAATTTTAACTTCATAGTGAATTTGAGGCTAGCCTGGGCTTTGTCTTAAAAAAAAAAAATTAAACAGGAAACCGGGCATGGTGGCTTAATCCCAGCACTCGGGAGGCAGAGGCAGGTGGATCTCTTTGAGTTCAAGGCCAGCCTGGTCTACAGAGTGAGTTCCAGGACAGCTAGAGCTGACAGACAAAGAAACTGTCCCTGTCTTGAAAAACAAACAAACAAAACTCAAACAGGACCAGTGGGGTTGGCTTGGTGGGTAAAGGTACTTGCTGCTAAATGTGATGACCTCAGTTCAACCCCAGAATTCACATGGTGGAGAGAACGGACCCCCTACGTTGTCCTCTGACCTCCACATGTGCAGTCTGGCACACATACACCTCACCCCTAACATAAAAAGGTAATTAAAAACTGGGAGGGAACCTAGATCGCACTGTATTTCTGGCTGGCTTGGAACTCAAGAGAAATTTGTCTGCCTCCCAAATACTGAGATTAAAGGAGTGCACCACTACACCCAGTCACAAACCAAGAGAACTAGCATTTAAAATAACTTTAGGTGGATATTTTTACAGTAAAATCGACTTTTGTATATCATTCTGAGCTTTGAAAAATGTCACGAAACCACCACAGTCAAAATATCTAATGGCTCCAGCATCCCCTGCCCTGAACTTCTCTTCTCTGCAGTCCCCGTTGTTACCTGTAGCAACCAGTGATCTGTTTTCTAATAGTTTACTTCTTCCAAAATGTCGTAAGTGGGATCCTATAGTTTGTAGCCTGTTGAGTCTAAGGTTTCCAGTTGGTGTAACTCTTTAATTCACCCATATTGTTTATGTATCTTTGCGGGTTTAGCTAGTGATTGGACCCAGGTGTCACATATTAAACAAATGTTCTACCACTAGCTTCATCCCTAGGCCTATCATTCCTTTTTCATTGCTGAATAGTATTCTTTTATGTGGATATACCATGTTTGTTTATTCTTTTGCCACTTGAACAATGTTTGGATTTCCAGATTTCGTGGTTATGAAGAAAGCAGCTATAAGCATTTCATACCGTTTTATAAATAATCTAACATTTCTTTTGGATTCATAAGTATCTAAGATTATTGATGGATTACAGAGTAGGACTATGCTTAACTTTCCCAGACTCTTCAAAAAATTTAAGTTATGTATCTATGTATCTGCCTCGGTGGGTGTGTGTGCACACTGTGTGTGTGGGCGCTCGGCGGCCAGAGTCCTTGTCATCAACACCTAGTGCATTTCAGCTAACTTTGCATAAGTGTGAGGTCATGTGGACATCTGGAGTCTGTCACACTTGTGTGGATAATCCATGTGCCTGTCTTTCCCTGGCCTCTCGGTCCCCCATGCCTGTATGATGTTTTCCCAGATATTGTGTAATAAGAGCTGTTACCGAAAAAAAAAAAGAAGAAGAGTAGCTTGTTTTGATTCACTGCAGTCAGTGTGAGTCTTCCAACTCCAATCTTTCTCAAAATTAATTTGACTCCTCCTCCTCTTCTTTTTTGGATAACAAAAAAATATTTTACTAGAACGTGAGTTTGGCAGAAGTCTCCAGACAAGCCGTACAAAGTGGTCACAAGCTTTCTTCTCTGGGGGGGAGCGGAGTCTACACTTGACAGCAGAGTGACAGCGTCATTAGTGAGGGCTGTGATGTTTATTTAACGTTCCCATTTCGGTTCAGACAATCAAGCTTGTCCATCTACAGCATCTAAAGTTAGACTTGGCTAGAGAGTATATTCTAAAAAACTGGCTAGTTGCATTTAACCACTACAATTAGATCCCGTAAGATAGGGGAGGAGAAGGAGATCATAGAACTAAAACCACTCTCCCCACTAAAGTGTAAAATAAAAACACCCATACCCCTGGCAGCTAACCCTGAGAACTACCTTCATCCACAGCGCTTTGTACTTAAACCCTGACGGGGAAACGAAGCCAAGCAGAGAGCCATGGCTTTTAAACATTTCACAACAACTCGGATGATACTAACAGCCTCTGCCCATGCTTTACAACAGTGAATCAGGACAAGACACAGATTTGCTAATGAGCATGTAATCACCTAAGATGAAGGTGTCTGAGCTTTTATTCTGCAATGTTTCTAGGACTGTGTCCAATGCATGCAAACAAAAAAGGGTGGAAGTCTTGGCAGAACAGGAGAAGTGATGGACACCTGATGGTCTAATCGACTTCAACATTATTCCTGGTACATAGCCTAGTCCATGCTCTCACTGCTTCTATGGCTTGGAATTTGTTGGTCTTCCACTGCTCGGCTACATCTATAGCAGGCTTTCTTGGACTTCCAGCCCCCAAATCATGACATGGAGACTTATTATTAATTATGAATACTCAGCCTTAGCTTAGGCTTATTTCTAGATAGCCTTTTTTGTTTTGTTTTGTTTTGTTTTTTGTTTTTTCGAGACAGGGTTTCTCTGTGTAGCTTTGCCCCTTTCCTGGATCTCGCTTTGTAGACCAGGCTGGCCTCGAACTCACAAAGATCTGCCTGGCTCTGCTTCCCGAGTGCTGGGATTAAAGGCATGTGCTACCACTGCCCGGCCAAGATGTATTTTTATTTTACATGCATGGGTGTTTTGTTTTATTTTGTTTTTGCCTGCATGTATGTCTGTGTGAGGGTGCCATATCCCCTGGAACTGTAGTTACAGACAGATGTGAGCTGCCATGTGGGTGCTGGGAATTGAACCTGGGTCCTCTGGAAGAACAGCCAGTGCTCTTAACCTCTGAGCCATGGCTCCAGCCTGCTTTTTTCTTTAATTAACCAATTTCTATTAATCTATGTGTTTCCCTGAGGCTTGTTTACCTCATCTATGTACTGCCATCCTGCTTTCCTGTTTCTTCTATGTCTGTCTGTCTGTTTATCCCCCTTTGTCTCTGCCCACCAGCCCTGCCTATCCCTCCTCTGCCTAGCTACTGGCCATTCAGGTTTTTGTTAGGCCAATCAGGTGCCTTAGGCAGGCAAGATGAAACAGCAACACATCTTTACATAGTTAAAACAAATGCAGCATAAACAAATGCAACACATCTTTACATAGTTAAACAATTATTTTGAAACACAAAGAAATGTGACAAATCTTCACATAGTTAAACATATCTATTCTACAACATTTCCCACTTTTTGTCTAAATAAAAAAGGAAAGGCTTTTACTTTAACATAGTAAAACTATAAACAATAAGAACAATTATCAAGTAAGAATTACATTTACAATATCTAGTCCATTTGTATTTGGCAAATTCAGAGAAAATACCCCATTATTTATCCTATCTTGGTGAATCCAAAGTTTTGTACCAAATTTATTTTCTATCATAATGAAGGAAAACTGTAATATAACTATCTATTCAACTTCATCAAAGACCCCAGAAGGATATAATATTACTTGAGCAAACAGGAAGTGCAATGCAAGCCACTTCCAAAACTATAAAATGACAGTGACATCTGTCTGGCTG